TTTTCAGCTGGTTTTGTGTCTCATGTAAAACCATTCCTCCTGGGGAGTGCATCTCTCACTGTGGTGAGAAGCCAGTCTCCCTTCCTCACTGGAGCAGATACACCCATGGTTTCTTTCTATGAGCATTTGAGATCCTTGAACTCAAACGCACGTGTCAGATGCCTCTTCCCTGGCTGCATGGACCCTGGGGGCAGGCTGAGGGCAGGGGATGGCTCCTCACTCCCCTGGTGAGCCCTGGGAAGAGCAAAGCTGCTCGAGGCATGTCCAGCTGCTGCCAGCAGCCCTTGGATTTCTGTTCCTGTGTGCTGTCCCCTCAAGGGCTGCCCTGCCTACAAAAACCAGAAAGTCACTGAGGACTTTAGAGCTTTTCAGAAGCTGCTTGTGACCCCGAGGTTCCCCCATGTGCACCGTGTCTCATGTGCTGACAAGGAAATAGATACCCAAAGGGCTCCAGCCCAGATGAGCAGTTCTGGATGTCTTCGTGCCTCTCCATCCATCACACATTTCTCTAGCTCCGTCCTGTGAAGGCAGCTGGGTAGACCTGCTGGCTGTGAGCAGCACAGACAATGCTGTCCCCTGCCAGCGGCCAGCCCTTTGTTTTCAGGGTTGCTGCAGGTCTTTGGCTTGCTTGTGCTGCTCCATGTAAGCGTGCGGTGCGTGCAAACAGCTCTGCCCCTGCCTGCCCGTTCCCCTTCCCAGGACCATCACGGGCTCCGTGAGTGTGCCTCTATAGCCCAGTAGGTTTTCAAGCTTTGTCATCTATTCCTATTTACGGTAAAGCTGTTTATCTTTTCTGTGGCATTCATTCCAGGACTAGACTTGGAGCCCCTGGGGAGGGCATAAGAGTAGCACTTACTGTATGAGAGGAAATGTGCGAGTGTCGGGAGGTTCTGTTTTTAACAAATAGCTTTATCTTTCGTCTGCTTTGGTAATACCGGTTGCTCTCAGGAAAATTCCTGCAGGGGCACATAACACAATAGCTGAAGCCCTGTGAGTCTGGACCTCTTGAGCTCTGCTTCTGTTTTCCTCTGGGACACTAGACAAGTTACTCTGATCTCTCTGTACATTGTTCTCCCCGCTGTGAAAGATGAGAAAAAATGTGTCTGAGGAAAGCAGTGAAGGATTAAGCACTTTGTGGGTCTTGAATGAAGCCTCTGTGGTTTGAATCACCCAGTCAGGGCAGATGGGACCCGATTCAAAAGCAGCACGGACAATGCTGTCCCCTGCCAGCGGCCAGCCCTTTGTTTTCAGGGTTGCTGCAGGTCTTTGGCTTGCTTGTGCTGCTCCATGTAAGCGTGCGGTGCGTGCAAACAGCTCTGCCCCTGCCTGCCCGTTCCCCTTCCCAGGACCATCACGGGCTCCGTGAGTGTGCCTCTATAGCCCAGTAGGTTTTCAAGCTTTGTCATCTATTCCTATTTACGGTAAAGCTGTTTATCTTTTCTGTGGCATTCATTCCAGGACTAGACTTGGAGCCCCTGGGGAGGGCATAAGAGTAGCACTTACTGTATGAGAGGAAATGTGCGAGTGTCGGGAGGTTCTGTTTTTAACAAATAGCTTTATCTTTCGTCTGCTTTGGTAATACCGGTTGCTCTCAGGAAAATTCCTGCAGGGGCACATAACACAATAGCTGAAGCCCTGTGAGTCTGGACCTCTTGAGCTCTGCTTCTGTTTTCCTCTGGGACACTAGACAAGTTACTCTGATCTCTCTGTACATTGTTCTCCCCGCTGTGAAAGATGAGAAAAAATGTGTCTGAGGAAAGCAGTGAAGGATTAAGCACTTTGTGGGTCTTGAATGAAGCCTCTGTGGTTTGAATCACCCAGTCAGGGCAGATGGGACCCGATTCAAAAATGCCCGACACAGCTAGATGTGCCTGAAGAAAGAGAAAAGCACATTTACCTGCTAAGATAGCTTTATATCAGTAATTAGAGGGCTTGATGAAAACAGCCCACAGACAGAGAAGGAAAAAAAAAAAAGTGATCTGAAAAAAAGGCTTAAAAATTAGGGATGCTGTGTTATTTATAGGGTTGTTGGAGGGAAAGGAGGAAGGATAGCAGTTGAATGCACTGAGTAGCTTAGACGCTTGCTAATGCAAGAGTGAATAAACAGGAAGAACTAGATGTCTTAACGCATCATTTAATAGGTGTAATAGACACGTGCTGGGATAACTCGTGAGGCTGGAATATTAATAGAAACGAATAAAGCTTATCCTGGAAGGGTAACAGAGGTTTTCCTTGTATGTCTGTGTGCTCTGGGATCCAGCGTGAAGGAAGAGATGAAGAAATCGCAGATCTCTGAGTAATGCCACAAGGGTGAAGAACACAGGCATACAAAACCAAGAGGGGCAGTCTTCTGGGAAAAAAACTAATACATAGTTTTCTGAGGGACGGGACTTGATGGTAAATGAAGAATTCTAGCTATACAGGGGCAGAGTGGGAGAGGAGTGTAGGGGAACACGACCTGTTCAGCTGGCACAGTGTTTTGGTGCAGAGGTGAATAGTTTTTTGGAGCTAGAGAGGAGGCTGTTCCAGAACTCATTCCCTCCAGCAGGGAGGAGCTGGCTGGTCCTGTGAAAGCAGGAGGGAGTGTAAACAGGAACAATTATGAAGGGACAGTATGATACACAGTAAAAAGTGACAATAGCAAAGTGTTTAAAATGGCCTTCAAGAAGGAAATCTTCGGTAAATACGAAGAACTAGTAACTGAGATCTTATGGAAAGGAAATCTGGGATGGAGGGAGAATTAAGCAGAGCTGTCATTTCCTTAAATAATTGATGTTAAGGGCACAGGTATAAGTTATCATCTTTCAGGGAGAGGCTCAGAAGGGTGCGTGAAATGGGAAAATCACAAGCTCCTCACTCACATCAGGCAGAAGAAGGATGCCTCCAGAAGGAGCAAAGGAGCTTGTTTCATGCAGCACAAACTGTGTGGCAAACGCTCAAGGCGAGAAAAAAGCTGTTGAGGACATAAAGGGCAATAAAAGTTGTTCTGTAAGAGCTGGGATCTCTGGGGTTCTGTAACCTTGCTAGTAAGAGGGAGTTCAAAGACTGACTGTTACTCAGTAAAAAAAGCCTAGCAAATAATCCTAAGAAATCTGGGTTTGGGTTTGGGTTTGGTTTTGGTTTTTTTTTTTCTTTAGATGGAGAAGGGGGGAGGGTTTGGGCTTGGAATAGGGAGGGAATGGGTTGGCTCGGTAAGGTAGAGCATAGCCTGGAGCAATGCTGCCTTTGGGAGTTTCTGGTGCACAGACAGGCAAAGTTCAGAAGACTGGGAAAAGAGCAAGCAATCTGTCTTGAAATAGGGGGAAAAGAAAAGCTGGGTGATTATAGGTGTATTGGCTTCATTTCTTGGGTAAAGGGTGAAACAATTCAACAAACCACTTCAAACTAACTAGAGGTGTGTGTCTGTGGAAAGATGATTAACAGTCAGCAGTCCTGGAAAACTGCATCAAGACAAAATTAATTCTATATTAGTGGTAGCCAGAGGGCTAGTGAAAAAGCCTTAGATAGCTGTCATGTATCTTGACTGTCACTTACAGCATTTTTACAAGTAAACTGGAGATACATGCTCAAGATAAATTCACCATACAGTGAGTGCCAGACTTTTCAGAAAAAAGTACACTGGCAATAGTTATCAATGACTGATTATGAAACTTGAAAGATTTATCAGAGATGTATCCTGAGTCTGGAATTCAATATTTTCTTCTCCATCTTGGCTGGCAGAATAAAGAACACAGTAAATCTGCGAATGGCACCATGCTGGCAGGAGCAACAAGCACACTGAAAGATAGATTAGAATTGACTACTTGGAGAAATAGCCTGAAAAAAATTGGATGCAGTTCAGCAAGGACAAATGAAAGATTTGCCTTGCCTGATGAGGCATCGGCTTTGCCAGAAGGGATCTGCCAAAATGGATCATATTCTGGAACACCATCAGCTGCATGCTGGTGATGCATAGGGATATTATTTTGAATTACTTCTAGGTGAATTCTCATGTCAAATACATGTTGTCTACAATATAGGTGGAGTGTCCCTTGTGCTCTGGTCAGCTTTGGTAAGGCCTCAGCTGCAAACTATAGCCCATTTTGGCCACTGCGCATCCAGAATGAGGTAAACTAACTGGGAAGCCCACTTGAGAGCAGGAAAAATGATGCTACTTCTGACAGACTGACCCATAAGAAGTGATTGAAAAAACTGGAGTTGCTTACCCTTGGGAATACAAGACTACAGTAAGGCATAACAGCCTTCAAGACGTAATGAACTCATCTGTGCTCTGTGTCCTTGACAAATGGAACAAGGAACTGAGGGGGAGCAGAAGAGCACTGTGGACCATCCCAGGAGAAGATGTAATTTGTTCAAATTGAAGTAATGAGGTTTTTGTCAAATAATGGGGAAAAAACTCCCCCAGGGGAAGGACACTACAGTCCTCAAATAGGCAGTCTGAAGCCACGCCCACATCATGGGAGTGACGGGCATGACCCTGTCTTGAGGTAGAGGTTAGATATGATGACCTTTTGAAATCCCTTCCAGTAGTTTTTGATTTCATGATAGCCATGGTGGTGATGTCCCATCACTGGGATGATGCGAGGAGATGCACTTGTACTGGAGGAAGGGTGCTAACAGTAGGCTGATGGCAACAGCCCCAGAGACTTCAGGGGGAAGAGATGGAGCAGGGCAGGAATAGTGAGCACCGCTAGTTAAGTGGTAGTTCTTACCCAGGAGAAGGTGAACAACCTGTCAAACCAGTGTTGGCATTGCAGTAGGTTGTGGGCAGAGGAGAACTGGAGTATGGGCTTAGAGTGCTATGGCACCAGTCCACAGTGCTGCTCTATCAGTGGCACCAGCCTCTTCACTTCCCTGGCATGGGGTGGTTAACCCAGAGCAGAGGTTCCCGGTGACATTACCGTTTAGCAGCTCTGCTTGTAATTTCTGATGCTTTGTTCATATCTGTATCGACTCTGCTTACCTTCAAGCATGTGTGATGTGTTTCTTCTTCTTTACAGAGGAAGAGAGACAACTTCAAGCAAACAACCGGGATTTTAATCTGCAGTTTGAATATGCTGTAAGTAACCAGCATGTGTTGTTTCATGCAGATGTAGTCACAGATGTAGCTGCATCTGCTTCATGTCTTGAATGTTGTTTCAAGGGGGTGACATGACTGCACGCTAGCTATGGCTCTGCAAACAAGGCGAACATGTGCCAGATGAACAACAAAAGATGGCTCATTGCTGAGTCAACCATAGGGAGCTCTGCCTTTGGAGTCAACCCTGCGAATGGGCAGCTGAAGGAGATCTAATGCTGCAAAATCATAACACGGTGACTTTACACACTTCCAGAAAATTATTTGTGAGTCAAAGTGTTTGCGGGATCAGGGTCCAAGGCCTTTCAATAAAGGAACCTGTGGAGAGTTTTCTGTTGGAAACATGTCTCCATTTAAAGTAAAACATGAAAGGAAATGTGTCAGTTCCTCAGCTCTTGCAGTGAAATCCTCTCTGGCAGGAAGGTTTTGAATCTGGTCTTTTGGGCTTCCTGCCAGCTTCATTTCCAGCTCCCTAACAGCCTACTTAGGTTCACATTGTGCCATGAAATCTGTGACTCCAAGGAGTGTCATGACACGGGCTGGCTGTGACCCAGGTCTGCCAGGCTACCGTGCCAGGCAGCGCCTTCGGCAATTTGATTTCCAAAGCTTGTGGACCATTTGCTGACTCTGTGTGCAGGGGAGGGCTAGCTGAGCTGCTAGACCTGTACTGCCTTGCTGCAGGGTCATCTCCTCCTTGAGGTGATCCTGAAGTTGCATTCTTTCAAAGCATTTGCAGCTGCCAACTGATACCGAAGTGAATGTTGTGGATTTTTGTCCTCTGCGTATCTGAATTCCAGTGGTGAAAAATTCATCCTTTGGTTTTACTCAGTAACCCCTTTGAATCGTGTTCTGGTTTAGGAACGTCACAAGTATTTTCTCAGTAAGAACTGGAAAAAACATTTCAGATCACTGTAATTCCTCATGAGATAGGAAGTCAGACTTGCCAACAGCTTTGACTAAAGATCTTAATGTAGCTGATCTGTTGGCCACATGAACTGGATGGTTTTCAGTGGTCAGCTCTCATCCATGATCTCACCAACACAGGCTAGAGACTTCCTAGGTTCAGAGCCGCCACACGAGCTCTGAATATGA